CACTGTGTTAAGTCCCCCTTTTTCTTCCAACATCTGGAACTGAGGGGACCAGCTGTTTGGCCCTTTTGGAGAGGAAAGCTGCTCTGTCTGATAGAGGGTTTAGGCTGCTTAGCAGTTCTGGGTCTTGGTACTTTTTCTGAATCATGACAGAGCTGTAACCAGCTCATAAACAGCATTTCAATTATTTCTGGACAGAATCAGGTCTGTTTTTAATTCAGAGAGCTTCTTGAGGTCACAGAGAGTCTCCACCGTTGGGGAATCTTTGGATTATTTTAAGTCTGAGGAACATTTTTTTCCTACAATTACCCAGAAAGTTACTGAACTCTGTGCATCTTTACATCTGAGAGACTTTGCATCTCTAAGGTGCTCTTTTTATGTCCAATCATGTGATTGACCCTCTGATAATTAAGATAATTAGCTCCTGCTTTCTCCTTTCCAGCCTTTTGTGTGACGTGTTACTGATTACGATCAAGATATTGTTCATTTTAACATTTGTTTGATTTGATTTTCCGGAATTTGGGGTTCTGTTTATTCCCTTATTTCCAACCCTCTCTGCACTGTTTTAGTGTTTTAATCTTTCCACCTCACGCGCACACACACACACACACACACACACACACACACGAATACACAGACTGTAAAATAAACGGATTTGGAGTGTGTCCGCCCGTCCTAATTTGTTGGCCAGTAAAGGCTGACTGAGGCCTAGCAGGTGCTAGACACTTGTCTGTGGAATGTGGAGGCCAGACCTCGGACCTCCCACCGGGAATGTGAGTGTGTGTTGGGCGGAGGGTGTGTGGGTGGTAGCCACCACCTGCTCTCCACCTAATTTCAGTTTTTCTCAGAACCAAAACATTGCTTTGCAACCCACAGGGGGTTTGATCAAAATTATAGTTTTGCTTTAATAAATTTCTCTTTCAATATGAATTCTTAGTGCCATATTTAGGCCGAATATATTTTGATTTTTCCAATACAGCCCTACAGTTAGCTGAAAATGAACCTAATAAAGCCCAGTTTTGAACAATTTATGACATATGACATTAAACATGAGGGAAAAACAAACTCAACATGATTGACTAAAATAAAAAAAAGTGAATCTGTTGTTTAGTTTTATATAAAATCTGTGGCCTAATTATTATTATTTTTTACCAGTTATAAGCTTTATTGACATCTGACGTAAAACAAAAGGTCACTTTTTCTAACTGTGTCACTAGTAACGATTATTATGGTACGAATTACACAGAAGAAACCCATTTATGTTTTATGGCTGAGACGGGGGGGTTTTCCTCGGGATGAAAGTGAGGAAGAGTAAGAACTTAGTGATGAAGACTGTGAGTAGAGGCTGATTTAGAGGATGCAGAGGAAGAATAAACGAGCATCTATTGTGTTAGATTTGGGTTGAACTGTTGAATATGTAGAAACTGTAAGAGAGTGTTAACTCGCACTGTGAAAGTTAAAGAGGATTGATGAGACATTCTTCGGTTTTAGGTGTTATTTTATTTTATTTGAGGAATTCATTGAAGTACCTGTGTTGGAAAAGGCCCAAAACCACCAAGAAATAATTCAGTTTGTATAAAACTATCACATAACATAATGATGTGCGCAGTAGAGGGAACAGCCAGGTCACATTTTGTTTGGCCACTTTTAGCTTTGATTACTGCACATAGTGGCTTCATGTCACTATATGATGTCACAATTTCTATTAAATTCAATTCCTACATTTTTATCTCTCCATCCGTCCACATATTTTTTTTATTTGCTTTTGATTATCCTCTGATTTCATAATCGGGGACACACTTTTCTCACAGCCCTCGAACTCTTCTGTTTTTGCCTTAATGTGTTTAGAAAATTAGTCTAAAATTATTATTTTTTGTCTTTGAAGCATCACAATGGTCTTTTTTTCGAAAACGGTGCCTTTTATACAGCTGTGTTAATATTATGTCGGATTTTTGCTCCTTTTTGGTGATAATCATTGCATCTGTTTTGGTGTGTGAGGTTTAGACCGAACTGAGCTCCTTCTTGCAGCTCAGCATTAAAAATACGATTAATTTGAGCTTATCAGCTCAACAACATGCAGCCTGAGATGAGTGTGAATCAGCAGAAAGGCATCGGTTTGCTTTAATGTAGATTAATGCTACCTGCCTGCTGTCTGGCGTCCTCTGTGGACAGCAATTAAGAGCAGTAATCACCTTTTCATGGTCCGTTCCCTTAGTAGGTCATTATCCTCCAACTCATGCCACCCCCACAGTTTTCCCACTTTACCTAATGCATGATAATGAGGAAAGTTTGGAGGGTGTTAATGTTATTGCGCTCTGCTTTTTGTGGGTGTTGTTGTTGTTTTAACTATAAAAACGTATTTACGTTACTCAGGTGATGTTTGTGCATCTTGAGGAAAAGATTCAGCTGGAATTTAAAGGTAAAAGGTTGAAACGCTCAGTTATTTCTCCCCCCTCTTTCCTAACCTTTGTTTTCCTCCCTTTCCTCCTTCCTCCCTCATGTTTTAACTATAAAAACGTATTTACGTTTTTCGGGCCGATTCAGGTGATGTTTGTGCATCTTGAGGAAAAGATTCAGCTGGAATTTAAGGTAAAAGGTTGAACCGCTCAGTTATTTC